CACCGGGTTTGATTTTGAAAATTTGACTCACATTAACGAGCTTGATAACGATGTTGATTCAGAAGACTATGATTTATCTCATGATCTGTTGAAATGGATGGAATAAGAGAAGAAATTATAGAACCCCACCAGGAATCAACTGACCCATTAAATTTGAGAGATGGTGACAATAAGAAAGCCTTGATGACCTACTTCAGCTAGCCTTGAATCGGTTCAGATAAATCGTCAGTGAACCGGTCTGAACCACTGGATCGTTTGAACCACTAATTGAACAGCTGAACCGATCAGACTGACCCAAACCAACATTGACCGAACTGTTGATCGGTCCTATTCAAGTAAAAAAAAATTTTTTTATTTTTTTTATATTATTATTTTTGTTATTTTAAGTTTTTATATTTATGCATGATAAATGTTTAAATTTATTAGGATAAATATCTAATTGTTTTTAATAATAATAAAATGAAAACAATATAGGATAATAACTAAAAAAAATATTAAAAATGCTTAAATAATAATAATGGAATAATATTTTTTTAAATTTTTCTTGCCTAGATGTTGGAGGGAATTAAATCATGTTTTAAAAAATAATAATTTCACCTAGATGTTGGGAAATTATTATTATAAAAATACTAAACAAGTTAATAATTTTGATAATAAGTTTTCATAAGAAAGGATTTAAAAAAAAACATTTTAAAATAAAAAATATTTTATGTTTCTTAAATTAATTTTTAAAAAATTATAAAAATTAAATTTGCTCTAAAAGTCCGCCTAGATGTTGGGAATTTTTAAAGATGTTCGTGCTTTAATTAAACCCCAAACCTCCAAAGCCTAAACTTAAACCGTAAACCTTTACCTTAAATCTATTTCAAAACTTTAAGGATACGTGAAAAATTTTCACATGAAATAGTTTGTTTCCGAATGCTGCCTAAATGATAGGGTATTTAGGAAACTCAATTTCATTAAGTTTTTCACACAAGTTCTTAATTCACATTAATAATAAGATTAATAAATAAAAAGTATAATAGTAAATTGAGATCTTAAATATAAACAGTTGCACCTAAGTTCTGCGTAGATGTTGGAGAGTCGGAATGGTCTCATTATACTTAAGAACCCAACTTTTAAATTGCATTTCATTTTATATGACATTCATTAGCATACATATGTTAGCATGTTATCATCGATAATTGTCTGTATTATTCTCTCTTTAATTTACTGTTTGATGATAAAATATTTTTTAATAAAAAAAAGAATAATACTTTAAAATTTTTTTTGTGTTATTATAAAATAAAATAAAAATAACATTTCGAAAGAAATAATTCTTGGTACTCTGCCTAGATGTTGGAGAGTCACTAACAATTATTTTCTATAAAGTTGTTATTTCATTTTAAAGATTATTGTGTTAAATCTTAAGTGAAAAGAGTTATTTTAAATTATGCTTAGATGTTAAAGAATTTTAAGATAATTCTTTAACTTAAAGATTTTCTCAATATTTCTAAATAAAAATTTTAGTAAAATTTTATTTTTCCAAATGAAGGGAATTAGTGTTAAATTTCAAATTAAAACCATTTTTATCCAACACCGAAAATAACGCGTAATTAAATGGTACCAATTTATGGGCATTGTGGGAGTGCTAATCCTTCCCCACACGTAACTGACTCGGATCCAACCTGATTTTTTGTAGATCAGAATTTATCTTTTTGATAAATTTTAAACCCATTTTTATAGTTTTATTAAAAAGATAAACTTTTGGGTGGCCAATCACACCCTAACAAAGATTGGTGGCGACTCCCCTCATTTATTTTGATTTTAAAACTCATTTACGTCTGACGGTCTCAAAACCATTAAGACACATAAGACAAGCAACTTCAAATTTACTTTTGATTCTTCGCAAGTAAATCTATATAAATAATTAAAATTATTTTTTACTTATAATTTACATAGCGACATTAATTTTATCTTAAAAAATAATTTAATGAGGATTTTTAGAGTTAATGTTTATATTTGAAGTTAAAATTATCTTTGTCATATATTAAAAAGTTAGCAACTCATATGATTTTGCTTTGATTTTTTTGTTTTTATCATTTTCTTTTTAGTTTTATTTTTTTTTGTTATTTTAATTACTTGAAATTATAAAAAAAAAACTAAAATATGGATTAGATAAATTAATTTAAAATCTTTTATAATTATATTTATTTGTATCATGTAAATTTTATAATTTTTTTTCAAATAAATAAAAATTACTCCAATGATGAAATTAAAACAAAATTATTACCAAAAGAATTGGAAAGATTTTGGAAATATTTTAATAAAATTTTTTATTTTTAATAAATTATTTAGTAAAAAATAAATGTTGGTAAAAGAAATATAGAAACAAATAAACTTTTTCTATAGAATATTAAATTAATATGATAATAGAACCTCTTCAATGGTTAAATGGATTTTTTTTAATAATTTTTTTAAAATTTTATCATAATGTTGTAGAAAACCTAATTATTTTTAATATTTTAACTAATGAAATTTAACCAAGAATAAAATACCATTTAGCCAAGATCCTTTTAAGATAATATAAAATTAATTAATAATGTCTTAAATTGAAGTTCTGAGTTGCTAATGCTTTCTAATATAAATCAAATCAATAACATGCAGTAAAGGTTATCTCTAACTAGTGAGAACAACTTCATTGAATGTGAGTTATCAATTGTTCTATATTTGTCAAATATCTATTGATTGATAAAGAAGTGAAATAAGTTATTGAATTTGGTCGGTAATGGATTTTGATTGGATTGAGAAACAGTGAGATGTGGTTTAATTGGATTTAGAAAAAAATAATGTTTGTTTTATGTAAGTTTGTAATTGGATGAGATTTTGATGAGTTTTGAATTTTTATAATTTTTATCTATAATAAAATAAAAAAATACAAAACATAATAAATATATATAAAAACAAAAAATAAAAATTAAGTTACTTTTCTTATTTTTTCTGTTTTGGATTTTTTACAAAAAATTTTAGTTTACAAAAAATTAAAAATTCATACATATTCTATCAAGTTAATTATTAATTTTTACCTATATTTTGTGTTTGATTTTGATTTTGTACAAACATAAATATTAATTTTAAATTGATTTTTTTTCAATCAACTTTAAATTGATTTTGATTGATTATAAGTTTTGTTTTCCAAATTACGTTTAACTTGAAACAAAGACAAAAAATAATGGGTATTTATAGTCAAAGTTGATAAAACTTGTTGAAATCCTAATTCTCGTTCAATTTGTTCGAACTTGAAATCTATGTAATTGATTTGATAAAAAAAATTAAGAACTAAAATTCATAAACTCAAATTTAGGATAATTTGAATCCAAATAACTTGAAATATCAATTTGAAATAATTAAAAATTAATTTAATTTAATTTTAAAATTTCATAATTTAAACTTAAAACTATTCAAATCTGATCATCCTAATCTTAAAATAAAACCCAAAAACTTTAAACTCATAATGACACAATTGAATGAAATAATTAAATCCCAAGTGGCCCAATCCAATCCCAAATTCAACCCCAATTGTCATCTCCTAAATAAAAAAATGTAGGCATAATTTTTTATTTGACTTTTCAAATGAGATTCTATTTAGTTTAGAGCATCTAAGTATTTATCATACAAAAGATAATTAATAAAAATTATAATTAAAATAATTAATTTATAAAATAATAATTTTTATCTCGGCCTGGGTTGGTTTCAAACTTAAAAACTCATACACTAATCTGAACTCATGGATTGTACATGTATAAAATACAGTATTATTTCTTATCAAAAGATTATAAACATATCAAATTGGTTTGAAAATTGATACTATCATATGTTCATTAGCTAGTTAATTTTTTAATCAATTGGCATGATATTAAAGCTGATATTTTAAAATTATACATTCCAAAGAATTTGTGGGTAAGGTAAATATAAAAATAAAATAGTTTGAGAATAATAAAAATTTTTTAAAAAAAATCAACAAATCAAATTCTTTTGTGAAAAAACCATCGTTTAATTTACAAAATTATTTAATATTATTTAAGAACCAGCATAATTGGTTTCTAGTCAATGAGAAATATTGAATACAATTTATCAATTAACCAATTTCTTGTTCATTTCCATAGTCAATATTGGAAATGGTTGTATATAATATATTTATATTTATATTTATAGTATTTATTTCTAAATCCTATTTGGAAAGCATCCAGAAGAAAATTCCTTTTCACACATCATTTGTAAATGCCCCTATAGTAAAGGCACGTGTTAGAAAAATTGGAAACATGTAAGTAATGCCAAAAATTTTTTAAAAAATAAAAATAAAAAATATTGGCAAAATCCAAATTTTATTTGAAGAATTTCAATGGAAAGGTCAAACATTTCTAGATGAATTTTAGACCTAAAGTCCTTTTACTTATCTCATGGCCTGCGTAAGTCTATACCTCATCTCTGCCTACAAAAATCATCTATTTCAAAAGTAGACTCATGAGCTTGACCGTATGGTCCGACTCATAAATAGCCTGATTGATATAATTTGTCCTAGCATGTACTTAATATTATTCAAAATTTAGTATATTAGTTTTCACACAATTTAAATCAATTGAGTATGAATCGATTAATCGTTAAATTAGTTAATATATCATTAAAATTAATATTAAAAATTAAAAATTTAAAAAATTTATGTATAATATTTTTTAATCAGATAAATAATAAGATACAAAATTTAAAAAATAAATTATAAACGTAAAAAAAAAAAAAACCCCAATTGGGTAGGAAATTAATATTTGACCTTAGTTGCATTCAAGAACCAATTAAATTGGGAAATAGTTTTATCGGTTTATTTTAGTCATCTATTTTCAATTGAGTAAAATGGAGCTCAAAAACAAAACTTTTCCTTCAAGAAAAACTATATTGATCGATCAATCTCCCTAAAATTGAATTTATTAGTCAAAACCGATTTTGCTGACCTCAAAGGTGCTTGACTTTGTCTGCCCTTTGAACATTCAATTTCTATATTAAAGGCTGGCCATAGATCAGCCATCTCAAAATTATCCTTTCCTTTCTCTAAAAAAAATGGATTTACGTCATAATCCTTTTCCTGGTACCTTGAAGAGATACTGGAGAAGAAGGCGATATGAAAGACTCAACGGCGAAGTGACCAGGAACAAAAAGAACGTAAAAATCAAAAGGTTTCGAGGTGGATCGCGAAGGTTTTGGAAGATCAAAGCTGTACCAAAGCTGCGTTGGAAGATAATTGCTTCGTCTATAAAGCTTTTGACGAAGCTCAAAAATGCTTATATGAACATGATGATCAATTTGGCTGGGAACGTTGGCCACTTGAATAACGATAATACGTTCGGAGGAAAACGAATTCCTAAAGCTCGAAAAGTTCCTATGATTTATTCCAGTAATGAGTTTGAAGAAAGGTTGGTTTATGAGATTTACAAGGCTTTAATAGCTACTCGAGAATTATACGGGTAGAACAACAATTGTAACATATAATTGTTAATTATTTTCCCAGTTTATACATGGTTTTTTTTTTTTTTTTCATAATTTACAGATGCATTAACTCAATATACAACTTCTCATTCAACTTATCTTTTTCATGGCTTATTAAATTTTTTAAGATTATTTTTTTTATTAATTTGTTTTTGTTATTTTTCTGTTATTGCGATAAGGAAAAAGATTATGGATTTTAGAATTTAAACTCTATACTTATTGAATATCATCTTTGAATTACATGAATCAAATAAGATAAATCTTAGGTTTAAATTGTTCTTGTAAACCCTAGGTTTACTTTGTTATTGTTGTACCAACAAGAAGTTTGCTCAATTGGTATGATCGATCTTCTTAACGCAAGTGTTTCAAATATACAACTTGTAATTATTATTTTTTAAGTTGTTGAATACAATATATTTTATTTTGATTTTAGGAACTGAATAATTTATTTATTCTTGAATTTTGATTACAAAATCAAAAATTATTCTTGTTATTATACTTTGTAATTTTATCTAAGGAATTACCTGACAATAACATTTACAAGATTTGTGAAACAATTTGTATTTGAATTGTAAAATATAAGATGGTTTCGATCCGCAAATATAAGTTAAATAATGAATTTACAAATCGGCAAGTGCTGGCACAATTAAGTTAAACACGTGCATTGGCGACGTTGAACAAAGTCATTATGACATTAACACTTTAAATATTTTTCAATTCAAATTTGAGGTACAATAGTCAAAAAGAAGATTTGAATCCAAATTGATTCTTGCGTAAGATATATTATTGGTCACTCAATTGTACGAGTATTTTTAAAATTATCATTTAATTATTAATTTTTTAATTTAATCATTTAATTTTAAATAAATATTTTATCTTTAATGGAGTACTTAATTGATACTATCGTATCAATTATCAAAATATCACGTAATATTATTACATTAATTTTTATATTAGTTATCAGTATATCCACATGATATGATCATTCATATACTAATGTCACGTTAGCACATTATTAAAAACGGTTGAATGACAAAAAAATATTTAATCAAAATTAAAGTAATTAAATTAAAAAAAGTTTAATAATTATATAACTTTTTAAAAAACATTTATATATAATTAAGTAATTAATTGTGTCTCCAAACTTTTGATTTAGTGACTAAAGATGTTTGAGGGGATATCAAAGATATGATTTCGAGCTAAGCTTCTCCCCTCCTCTTTTACTTGTACTAGGGCTTTGCTTTCTTGATATAATTAAAAAGAAAAAAAGTGATTAATTATGTATTTTTCCTTCTATTCTTTTAATTAATGTAGGCACTAATGGCTCTCACTGAATCTTTAATAACCCATATTTCTTTAGTGAAATAAATATTTTATAAATGAGATTTATAATAATATTATGTATAATAAGTTTACAAGGTAATGTAATTATAAGATTATGGCGTAAACTTATTATATATTATTATTAATATTATTAGAAGATAATTATGTAAATTAAAGGTAATAATATTTCATCAATATTGCATTACGAATATTAAAAATAATAATTATTTATAAATGACATTATTTATATCATGAAAGATTTACAGGTATAAATAATATATGTTATATATTAATATTTTTATATTAAAAATATATTAACATTTATGTTATCAGATATTTCATTTAAGAAAATTGATTAAATTATTAATAAAAATCATAATTTAATTTGATATTATATTTTATTTATACTTTTAAATAATTATATATAAACGTATTATTCTTAAAATATATACACAAATCTATTTAAGTTAAAACTTATGTCCTAAACTTAAATATTTAAGTAAGTTAAATACAACATTTTTTTTTTTTTACATTCATCCTCTTCCTTGCACACATATCCACCCTCAACACTTTTTCTTTTCTTTCTTTATCACTTAAAAAAATTTTAAAATAAAAAGCTTTTTAAGAACATCATCGAACCCCACACAAAACCCTTTCCTTTTTTACTGCCAAAGAACATCTCCGAATCTTTACTCAACTTTTTTTATTCCTTCTCTTTTTTTATAATTTGACCTCACTTTTTTTCTCCTTTTTTATATAAAAATCTTAAAAATTAAAAAATCGTAATTTCAGAGGAAGTTATAGTGAGCTAAAGTAGAAAAAGGAGAAAGAAAAAGAAAAGAGAGAGAACTAGCAACGGGTAGGGAGAAGGAAAAGGAGAGGGAGTAAGAGAAGAAATAAAAATAGGGATAAAGGTTTTCAAACCCCCGAAAACGGTGCCGTATTTATATTTTAGTTAATTTTTTTTATCTCTTTATTGTTCCCATTGACCTTATGTTTGTTTAATTCTTTTACTTGTCGTTATTTATTTTTTTTTTTGCTATTTTACCTTTCATTTTCTTATTTTTATTAGTTTTTTTTATTAAATTTCTATATTTATCTTTTATTTATTTATTTATTTTTGTTCTTTATTTATTTTATCTCTTATTTATTTATTTTATTTATTTATTGTTATAATATATAAATTGGTAAACTTATTATTAGATGTAATTTTTAAAAATTATCGCTTAATAAAATTTGTTTTATTTAAAATAGAGTTTCAAAATTGGCTTAAGCTTATTGCTCGTGGCCAAACGCAACCTAAAGCTTATGGAAGCCTATATAAAAAGGGTAATGGCATAGTCTCCCTACTGCAGTTTTCTTCTGTTTCTATTCTCTCCCATAGCTTTGTTCTTTTTCGCTCGCCATCCCAACCCTAAAGCTTAACCCTCGAAGCTTTCATAACTCTCAAATCTCATTCATATCTCTGGACTTCAGGAAGAAGAGCAAAAACAGTGCATCACCCGAAACTTACTGCTGGTCCTGAAAGCTGTAAGAGCTCTCTCCACACCACCCCTAAGTTAAAATTTTGAAGTAAAATTTGTTGCATTCTTGTAGATATAAGGCTTCTCTCTGTTTTGGGATAGAATAGTCCAATTATGAATCAAACATTGATGGCAATAATGGGTTTTCTGGTTTTTCTTTTTGCCGTCTGTGAAGACAACAAAAAAAGTGTTTTTAACATTGTAGATATTTGGTCTGAGAATTAGTATATGATGATGAATGCTAGATGAATTTGTTGGTTTGCTTTAATTTTCTATTCTGTTTTTTCTTTTATTTTCTTTTCGATATGAGTTTGAGTTACATGCATGTAATTTTTTTTTTTTTACAATAATTTACTATATTTATTTGTTTATTAATTTTTATCATATTAAAGCATATGGGCAGACATAGGATGGAGATGAAATTGATAGAGAATGAGAAGGCTCGAAAGAAGGTTTTTGAAAAAAGAAGGAATAATTTGTTAAAGAAGGCCAAAGAGTTACTAATTCTTTGTGATATTAAGATATTGCTCATTATCTATGAACTAGATAAACAGAAACCTGAGATTTGGCCTGGTAATGATGAGGAAGCTGAACAAATCATCAACAGGTTCAAGCAGCAGCTTGTTAGAGGTGACTGCAGAACAGCTGGTGATTCTTTTTCAAGTAAGAAGAAAAGATTTGATAGGAAATTTGCTATATCAGATCATAAGAGTATCATCATAAGAAAAGTTGTGTTATGAATTGGATGATAAGATTGCTGCTGTGATAAATGAAATAAAATCAAAACAGGTCCTGACTGAAGGACCTAGATCACCAAAGATCTTGCCAGACAGTCAAGGAATAGGATTTTTAGACAAGGAGAAGAGAAAAGAAGTTGTTATCTACCAAGAGCCTGTTCATGATATCCAACAAGATCAGAGTTTTCAGATGCTTTCCCATAACCCAAATTTCATGGAAAGTCCTATGATGATATCGACGATGATGCAGAATGGTATCAGCTATCCTGAATTTGATGGTAGTTCCAGTAATAGTAGTAATATTCCTTATGTTCCGTTGCCAATTGATTCTGTCCATCCATCTTGGATGCCACCAGCTTACATTGATGGTGTCAAGTTTTCCCCGAGTGGAATGCTTCGGGCTAACCATTTTTTTTTTTTTTTTGTATTAGCCATCAAAGTGTCCAGAGCCTTGTTTTAGTGGTTAAAGACAAATAAATATATTTTTTATGTTTGACTGATTTCTAGAAATACAGTATAGTATTGATATTCTTGGGTAGCTGACATTTTATTTTGATTAACAACTTTTATATTGTTGTCCTAGTCTCTTGTATATGCTTTTTTCCTCTTAGTCAAAGGAATAAATTGATGAATGGTTGATGAGAAAACAAGTTAGGAAACCATGAGAACAATAGACGAATTGTAAAAATCAAAGCCAAAAACGGCTATGTTGGCTCAGTTATATATATATAAAATATGAAAGAAAAACTACATATGTTGACAACATATCAGACACCTGGACTGCAACTTTGATGAAAAACCAAAATTTGACTCCTATCATTAATTAGTTTTGGATACTTATCATCGCATTAATGAATTTTAAAAAAAATAATCTAAAAAATTAATATTACGAATGATCTTTAAATTATAATTAAACCATATATTATATATCATATATAATATTATATTATAGGATACATGATTATCTAATAAAATTTGTTTATATAGACACTTAGGTAAATGGTTTATTTATTTGACACATAGGAAATTTGTCAGATAAGATAATTTTTCTTTTTATACTATTTATCAATTAAATGAAATAAATAAATATATTTTAAATAATTAATAATTAATTATCTAAATATATATTATATTTTAAATCAAGTGTTGATCTAATTTATAATTCACAAATTAAAGAATCTAAAAGATAAATATTTTAAATTTAAAAAAAGTGAAGAATCAAATTCAAGATTAAATCAAGAAATAAAAATTTAAAACTTTAAAATGTCAAAAAATATTTTTATCTTAATAAATTCCCTCATAATCTTTTATTTTTTAAATTTCTTTAAATTTTGAAATCATAATATCACTTTTTATGTTGTTTAAATTTGAAATATATTTATCAATTTAAATTAAATAAATTTATTTCAAAACTCTATTCTTAATTATAAAAAAATATAATAAAAACTTTGTGCGTCACATGGGTTAAAAGGCTAGTATTCTATATGTTACCTGAATTTTAAAAATTTATAACGTAGTATATAAATTATAAATATGTTAATTATCATA